CCACATGGTGGCCTACAACCACCTTTAACTCCACTTTTAGGGGATCTGATGCCCTCTTCTGACCTCCCCGGGCATTTCACACACTTGATACCACACTCTCACACTCAGACACACATATACATGCTAAGGAAATGTTTTTAAACCACAGGATGGTGATAGAGCGAAGCTCTGAGGTTCTGTTCTTTGGCGGCATTTGGTGTGTCATTCACTATTTTTGTGGATGGTTTAAATGTTTTGTTGTATTTGCCCCTTTCTTATAACAGTGAGGGGGACGAAGTGAGGGTTCTGGCACTATTGATACAGATTTCCTCTTTCTGCAGTCAGCTGCCCAAGAGGGGCAGAATCCAGCCACAGCCAGCTTTACTAGAAGCGAAAAGAAACCAATGAAACAGCACATCTGGAGTGCTTGACAAGGCTGGAGAGACGGCTCAGCAGTTAGGAGCACTGGCTGCCCTTCCAGGGGACCTGGGTTCAATTCCCAGCACCCAGGTGGCAGCTCACAACCCTCTGTATTTCCAATTCATTTCCAGGGAATCTGTTGTGGGATAATTTTTTTGTACACTATGAAGGTGTGTCTCTGCCTAAGGCTCCTTCTGATTGGTTTAATACAGAGCAGAATGGCCAACAGCTAGGCAGAAGAGACTAGGCAGGATTCCGGGGAGAGGAACTCTGGAAGAATCTGAGGCATGCGGGATTTAAGCAAGGGAGACGTGGAGCAAGTTGGACAGACAGTATGGAGAAGGGGAAACAATCTATGTGGCAGAATCTAGATCAATGTAAACAGGTTAGTGTAAGTTATAATAGTTGGAGGAGGGCTGGAGAGATGAATCAGTGGTTAGGACCACTGGCTGCTCTTCCGGAGGACCCAGGTTCAATTCCCAGCATCCACATGGCAGCTCATAACTGTCTGTAACTCCAGTTCCAGATGATCTGACATCCTCACACAGATGCATATGCAAACTACCAATGTGCATAAAATAAAAATAGATAAATTTTAAAAAAGACTTAGTTGGGAACGAATGTAAGCTAAGGCCAAGCTTTCATACTTAATAAGAAGTCTCCCTGTCATTATTTGGAAACTGGCAGTCCAAAGAAAGACCAATTACAGGATCCAAGGCCCTCTTCTCACACCAGGCACACATATGGCACACAAACATACATGCAGGCAAATGCACATATGCATAAACATAAATCAGTTAATTAAATTTTAAAAATAAAATGCTAGGACTAAATTCCTGAAAACTGTGACTGAAATAGAGATGTACTTGGAAATTTCACAATAATTTTTGGTTTGATTTGGTTTGTTTGTTTGGTTTTTTTTTGTTTTTTGTGTAGCTCTGGCTGTCCTGGAACTCACTCTGTAGACCAGGCTGGCCTCAAACTCACAGAACTGCCTGTCTCTGCCTCCAAAGTGCTGGGATCAAAGATGTTTGCCACCACTGCCCTACCAGTCAAATATACTTAAGAGTACATTATGTTAGGAAAAAAAGGGAACTGCCTATATTGAATTGTGCTCCAGGAAGCCACACTGAAGATGCCGCAGGGGTTAAGGGAAGTGCCACATGGGCCAAGTTAATGGTGTCCCACCCTGTACCAGATTCCACTACAACAAAGCTCCTTTTTGCTTTACATTTATATTCTGAAGAGGACTTCATTTAGAAAAGGGTGCCAACTTGACAGAAGTCTAAAAAACGTTCTTACCCTCAAGAGTGTTTATATAAGAGCAGAGAGTGGTCTGACCTCCTCAGGGGACTACTTGGCAATGCTTGTCAAAATGTAAGCACTCAGGGGCTGGAGAGATGGCTCAGAGGTTAAGAATATTGGCTGCTCTTCCAGAGAACCGAGGTTCAATTCCCAACACCCACATGGCAATTCACAGCTGTTTGTAACTCTAAGATCTGACACCCTCACACAGTCATACGTATAGACAAAACACCAATGCACATAAAATAAAAATAAATAAATAATTTTTTAAAATCTAAGCATACTATTTGATCCACCAATTTTTACTTCTACTTTTACTGTTCAAATAATCAATATGAAATAACCACTCAAGGGTACAAAGACATATGTATAGTATGTTTAGTACGGCATGTAGTGGTATTTGCTCCACCCATGACCTTAGGCTGTAGGGCCCCGAAGGAGGCGGTGCTTCCTGCCCTTGTAGGTGACTTCTTATAAGAGAAGGGGGAAGGGTCACATGCCCCTGTTCCCTGCTCCTGCCTTAGAGGTGGATTCGCTCGGGTCAGATCAGAGGACAACTTCCAGCTGTCTACTCCGTTCTGTATTCGTTAGAGTATTTCCTCAGTTTATATCTTAATAAATTCTGTTATCCATTTAATAGACTCACATAGACTGATTGTAACAAGGGCATTGTTGATAATGGCAAAATATTGAAAACAATGCAAACACCCATAAATATAGCATTTGTTAAAAGAATAGGTGGGTGACAGGCATGGAGGAACATGCCAGTAATCTCAGCACTTGGGAAGCTGTAGCAGAAGGATCATGAGTTCCAAACAAGCCTGGGGTGCATAGTGAAATCCCATTTCAAAAATCAGAGCTGGAAAGATGGCTCAGTGGTTAGGAGCACTGGCTGCTCTTCCAGAGGACCTGAATTTGAGCATGGTGGTTTACAACCACCTGTAACCTGTCCCAGGGGATCCAATGCCCTCTTCCAGCCTCCACAGGCACCAGGCACACATGTAATGCATAAACATACATACAAAGCAAAAGACTCACACACATAAAATAAAATATAATTAAAATTAGAAATCAACACACAGGTAAACACACTCATGCATCTATGTATACGCGTGAACACTAGAATGACTGGAAAGATGCCTAGGATAAATTGTTCAGTGGAAAAATCAAGTTATAATAGAATTCCATATGTGAGTCAAAGTCTACAAGTTAATGAAGAAGGCCAAGCTGGGCGTGGTGATGCACACCTCTAATCCCAGCACTGGGAGGCAGAGGCTGCCAGATTTCTGTGGGTTTGAGGCCAGCCTGATCGCCATGGTGAGTTCCAAGCCAGTCATGGCTGCATAATGAGACAAAAATCACAACACAATATTCCAGGAAATATATGGAAATAGACAGCTATGGCTTTTCCGTTTTTATTAAAGATCATAGGATTGTTTTAGTTTACATGACATGATCTTTCTAAAGTGTCACATTGTATATTATATTTATGTTGGGTTTTTTTTTTGGTTTTTGTTTGTTTGTTGGGAAACAGGGTTTCTTTAGTAGCCCTGGCTGTCCTGGAACTTACTATGTAGACCAGGCTGGCCTTGAACTCAAAGATCCACCTGCCTCTGCCTCCCAAGTGCTAGAATTAAAGGAGTGCACTGCCACCACCACCCAGCTATATTTTAGATTTTTTAATACAAAAATATTAATAATTTAGTCTGTGAGTTCAAGGCCAGCCTAGTCTCCATAGTTTATTCAGGCCTGCCAAAGCTACATAGTAAGACTTTGTCTCTAAAGAAACAAACAAAAAATAAAGATTTTGTATTATTTTTAGATGCTAGGATTATCAGTGAAAACTTATGAAATTTAGCCCCTTGGGTGACTAAAGGATAAGCTGAGTCCTCATAGTTCCTAACAAACCCAACCGTAGCCACACTCAAGGGAGGATCTGCTGACAGGCTGCTCAGCTCTTTCACCGTGGAGGTGGACGGTTTCAGGAGGCACTGGTGTGTGTCTGAAGACACTTGGGTGTTTGTTACTCTCTCTGTTCTCTAGCGCTTGCTGGGGTTATCTGAGATACAGGCGATAACAAATGATAACAAGTAATCCCTTCCTCGGTTTCTGCGTCTTTTCTAGTTCAGTTACCCAAACACTGTAAGCCCATCTCATACCAGGTGCATGAACACTGTGAATCGGTAAAATTGCCTTACTATTCATTTCCTTGACTTAACGTTATCATCATCATCGTCATCATCATAATTCTTGTTATCATTTCTGGCTTAAAGTCAAAGCTTGTACAGGGCAGAAAGGCTGCCTGCCACTGAACTGTATCTGCACCCTCTTGATTATTGGTAAGAAACGCAAAGACACTGGGGGAGGAAAGGGAGGGAGAAGGAGAGCGAGAGACAGATTTCCTCAAATTTTCAGTTATGTAAACCAAAAATAGAAGATTTTTCTTACAAACAGAAGGTGTTATGAAATCGTGGTACATTGTTGTTTTGTATAAATGATAAGAACTTGGGGTTGGGGAGTGGCTTAGTGATTAAGAGTGCTTTCTGTTCAAGCATGGGGACCTGAGTGTAAATCTCTAGCATCCACATAAAAAGCTAGTCAAGGATACATGTGCCTGACCAGGCCTAAGGAGTTCACTGGCCAGCCAGCCCAGCCAAAACACTGAGCTTCCAGTCCAGTAAGACCCTGTCTTGGGCAATAAGGTGACTGGTGATAGAAAGACAGCCTACTTCTCTGGCTCTGCCCCACATGCTCACATGCATGCAGCACACACACACACACACACACACACACACACACACACACACACACGCATGCATTAAGCAAACCTGCATTTTTCCGTAGACGTGTAGGGAGGAAAAAGCTGGAGTCAGTTTTACAAACCATCTAAACTACTGATGGTGCCATAGGTAAAACAGAGAAATCAGACCAGGAATAGGGGCTAAGCCTGCAGTCCCAGCTACTCAGATTTAGGCAAGATTGCTTGAGCCACAAGTTCAAGGCCAGCTCAGATAATGTAGGGACAACCTCATCTAAGAGCAAACCCAGGAAAGTGAAAGTTGTAGATGTCTTAGCTCTTGCATCAAATCCAATGACGTTCCACAAGAAAACGGACCATGGTTTTCTTTGTACTCCTGCTGCTGGAGGATGTTTGTTTTATCCATACAGTTTTCACTCCAAGAGAGGCTACAGTGTAAATGCCTGACACTAGTCTTGAGCAAACTCTAAACCTATTTTTCTGCCGTGGGCTCAGGCAGATACCCAGTGCCATATGAGGACAGACTGCTCAAACATACAAGCCGAGGGTCTGCAAGAGAAGGCACCGGAGACATGCTGGCATCGATGGACACATCATACGTGAGCATTCCAGCACAAAATCTTCCTTGCACTTTTATTAGGAAACAAAGACTCAAGACCAGGGCTTAACCATCCCTGTCCATGGTGTCCACACACACTGCTGTGTCCGGGTGTCTGGGCTTAGGTACCAAGAGAACCAGTTGCCTGTGCTGGCCTCCTCGTATGGCACAGCCTCTCCTACTGCCTGGGAGAACCCACCTGGGCTATGACAAGCTGGCTTTGGGAGAAATGGGAAGACCCTTGGTTTCAGATGGGTCGCTGTCCTGGTGCCCTGCACTTGTCTCCTGGGACCCTCTGAAGACTATTTGGTCTGTTTCACCATTGGCCCTATCAGTGGCATCAACTTCTAATATAAAAAAAAAAAAAAATCAAACACCCGGCTCAATTAAGGATTTTATTTTTATTTTAAAAATTAGGATATCTACTTCTGTCTTAATTGTTTGAAGCTTTAGGAGCTTTTTTATGACTCTCATTTTATGATGATTTAAACAAAATTTAAATTTTTAAAGGTTGGCATTTAATTAAAATCGTTAAATATTCTTTCCCTTCTAAAGCTTCTGGAGGAGAGGTGTTCTCTGCCATTTTGGGTACTTATTTACCGCCACCTGCTGGAGGTAAAAACAAGTGCAGGTGAACACTTCGCTAAGGAGTCAAACCTGTTCTGCAACCATGGAAATCATATTTCGGGCTTGGAGGCGACTCCCCTCCTGCTGCCGAGGGCTGACGAATGCGGTGCCATGTGGACTGGGGAGAAGTGGGTTTTGTGACCTTGCGGAAGCTGTGATATATCTTGCAGTCTGCACCTATCAGACTGGGGATGGAGGTGGGCGGGGTGGGGGCGGAAACCGAGCGAGCCTCTGCTCTAGAATCCGCTTCCAGTGACAGCCCAGGCAAAGGCCTTTGACATGGCTATATCCCGTGTGGACGGGTTAGGCTTATGACTCGAGGCGCAGGGTGAGGGGTATATAAACAGGCAATTTGAAAACTCCTTCACCCCAGGTCGCTGCTATGGCTCCCAGAGAAGTACCCAATTGTATTAGGAGAACGATACAGGGGGATTTCTTTCTTTGCCGGTTCCTGCTCCCCTAAGCTCTAGAGCAGGTAAGCATGCTGTCTGCCTGTAACTCTCTCCTCATCCTCAGACTCTCTCCACCTCCAGCTTGCCAACCTCCATCAACCTCACGCACTCACAGCTCCAGTGACCTTGCTCAGAAACCCTTCAGTTGTCGTGGGACTCCAAACGTTCCTAAGTTCATGGGACCACTCAAGGGTCGGCCCAGCATTTTCTTTTCATCCTTCCCAGTCACTCTTGGTGCATGTCATTAAAAGGGGTTCATCTCTCCCTCCTCTCCCTCAAAAAAAAAATTAAAAACAAAAAGCCCACCTCACTCCTCCATCTCTCCAGCACCTCTTCATTCACCCTAGTGGCATTGAGTGCTGAGGTGTGTCACACAGTACACTCTTTTGTCCAATCAGCCCCACCCACAAAATGTTCATTGCAGTGAGTCATTGGTCTGGTTCGAGGCCTCTGGCACTCCATCACCTCTGGACCCTCATGGAAACTCCTCACGGATATCCTGCCATTGCTCCAAGTCATGGAGATCCTGCAGCTGTCATTCCACAGGACCAGTCCCTCCATGAGCTCCAGTCGACTTTAGGAGGAGAGATTGGCCAAATAAGGGAATAGACCTTGGTGGCTAGCTTTAGGAATGTCATCTAACACTTTTTAGCAAGACAGAGGGAATGGGGAGAAGGGCAAGGCCTGCCACAGCCGCATGCTCAGGTGGCCAGTGTCCCTCAGCAGGTGCATGCTCGGGGGGCCAGTGCCCCTCAGCAGGCGCATGCTCGGGTGGCCAGTGTCCCTCAGCAGGTGCATGCTCGGGGGGCCAGTGCCCCTCAGCAGGCGCATGCTCGGGTGGCCAGTGTCCCTCAGCAGGTGCATGCTCGGGGGGCCAGTGTCCCTCAGCAGGTGCATGCTCGGGGGGGCCAGTCTCCCTTCAGCAGGCACTTTCAATAAGTTGCATTGTGAATGCACACATTTATTGGTTTCATTTCACCAGTGTTTACTGGACAATCACTGTGTATGGTGCCCAGTAGCAGTCCATCCCATGTGGTGTTAAAGCTGCCAGGGATGCTGCTGTGGCCCCTGAACACTTGGATGTATAGATTCGCCATGGAGGCCGTTTGGGAGTAATGTCAGAACCCCAATGTCATTGTTTTATCTCTAGGTGTCATTTCCAATCAATGCCACTAGTTTGTTTACATCACTATTCACTAGACTCTTTATCAAATTACTCAGTCAGTTTTCTAAAATTGATATGTTCTCAAGAAAGAAGTATTCAGCACTGTGGAGACACTCCGAGAAAACAGGCTCAGGAGTGAGAAATCACAGGGTACCAAGCCTCCCTCAGGGTGCAGATGTTGCGACCATTCTTTCTAGAGCCATCACTACTCAGTCACCACAGACTCTCGTATTTTTAGCTTTAGCCTAAGGATCTGGAGTTACTTTGCAATAAGCAGTCATCAGCTGTGACAGCAGCAGAAGGGACCCCGCTCTTCTGTCACTGTCCTGGTCAATGCTCTTTAAACATCGAGGGAGGCGGGCTTAGCGCTGCTTCCAAATCAAATAAAGAATTCACGGGCCTGAAAGTTTTAGACTAATTCTGAGCGATCAGTTTTCATGCAGAGTGACCTTTCTTATTTAGAAGTGAGTCTAGGGAATGGAAGGTGTTATGAGTAACTGATACTAAAAGCTCAAGTTATGTGTGTGTTGTTTTTTTTCACATGAAAGCAATTTTGCTTTCCATGACTATTTGAAAGAATCGAATCTCCCATCTGTCAGATGTAATTGCTGCCCAAATTATCTCCGATGATTGTCGCATCCTTTGTGGAAGTCCAATTTTGTAAAGTTGTGGGATTAATCTAGACGAGGAGGCAGTGTCCTCTCTTCAGGGGAGCTTGCTGACTGAAGTAGAAGCATTAGCGGTCCTCCTGAAGGTACGCAAGCTAATGAAACCACGAAGGCCCAGAGAGACAAAATTAAGCAAGCCCACTCTTGACAATGTTGGAATCTCAACTTGAGAATGTAAGTAGGAAAGAGAAAGCTGCACAGTAAATGGGCTTCGGGTCGATTGCACGGCTTGTCGGTCATGTGTGTCGCATACGTCACACAACGTCTGGACGTGGTGAGATGTTTCTGTCTGTGTGCCTCTTCTCTCACTACTTGAAACTGGGAACAGGAATGTGGGCATCTTATATGGGCAGGATTACACACTCAGACACTGACCCTGTGCAAAGCGCGGGGAGGGTGGCTGTGAAGAACCCGCTGCTAACTGTGAGCCCCGTACAGCTAAACCTTCGAGTTGGATTCAGAACCTGTCTTGACCTGGACTCTCCCAAAGCTGACCCAAGGTTGGCTTGAGTACTGGCATTTATTTGGGATGTGATTCAGGCATTTTGGTGAAGGATTGGTGCCAGGACATGGTCCATCTGCTGTCTGCCAATATCTAAGAGCCAGGAAGACAGGAAACTGTCTCACTTTTTTTTTGCTTTGTTTTGTTTTATTTGTTTGTTCTGGTTTTTTGAGACCCTGGCTGTCCTGGAACTCACTCTGTAGACCAGGCTGGCCTTGAACTCACAGAGATCTGACTGCCTCTGTCTTCTAAGTGCTGGGATTAAAGGCATGCACCACCACCTCCAGGCCCTCCCCACCCCCACACTATTCTTTGACCAGGCATGGTGGCACACACCTTTAATCCCAGCATTCAGGAGGAAGAGGCAGGTGGATCTCTGTGAATTCGAGGCCAGCCTGGTCTACAGAGTGAATTCCAGGTCAGCCTGGTCTACATAGGGAGATCCTGTCTCATTTTACTTCTTTATATTTATGTGTACATGCCACTTGTGTGTCCAGAGTTACAGGTGGTTGTGAGCAAGTTACATGGATACTGTTACCTATTAAGCTATCTCTCCAGCCCTTATTCCCTTTAAATGCAAATATTAACAAGGTTTAATCTAGCTGGGTGTGCTGGTACACACCTTTAATGCCAGTACTTTGGAGGCAGAGGAAGCCAGATTTCTGAGTTCGAGGCCAGCTGGGGTGAGTGAGTTTCAGGACAGCTGGGGATAAACAGCAAATCCCTGTTTTGGAAAAAAAAACAAAAACAAAAACAAACAAACAAAAACCAGAAGAAGAAAAGAAAGAAAGGAAGGATGGAAAAAAAGAAGTGAAAATACAGTGTTGGCATACTGGCAACAGTGACGTGGGTCCTTTGCATGGAGAGAATGTGGACCGTTCCTCTCTGTCACAGCTTGTCACCCTTCTTGGAAATATTCATTCCTTGGTCCTCTGTCACCCTAGAACATTATTGGTGGCCTCGTCTGTGTCCTTTTCTGGCCTACTTCCTCTTGACATGGACCTGGTGGCTCACGACTACGTCTTCTAGCATCTTCTCTCACTGCACACATTCCTTCCCTGCTCACACAGACCCATCACTTCAGTACACACACTAAGCGACTTTACAGCCCAGACCACTGTTCTTTATTTCAGACTAGTGTATCTACCTGCCGATTCAGGATCTCCACTTTACTAGGAATGGTGGTGCGTGCCCGAAACCCCAGCACTGGGGAGGCAGAAGCAGGAGGATCAGCAATTCAAGGCCAGCCTGGGTGTCAGGAAACTGTCTCATAAAACAGAACAAAACAAAACCCTCCACCTCGACTTCTCCACTAAGCATCGCAAACTCAACTTGTTTGTGCTGGTTTGGTTCTCGTCCACCCCAGCTCTGGATCCCCCAAAGCAGTGACTCAAAGAGAGCAGTGGCAGTCTGGGGACATGGAAGAGATTCGTTGGATTCTTTGCAAAGATGGCTTCAGTGTTCTTCCCTTTGTGTGTGCCCACACCTTGGCAATGAGACACTGGCCTTCCTCCCACGAAGTAGTGGGATCTCTGTGTCACCCTTTGAATCTGGTCTAGCCCCCTGACTTTGGTGAAAAGTGGCTCCGTGGAACT